GCACATTTACAACTTTGACTCAAACTGTACAAAAGCAAACTATGTAACCAAAACGTTTTTACCCCCATAATATTCTGAAATAATAAAAAAAAAACCCAACATGGGAACAAGGAGAATTTAAAGTCTGGAACACATTAAATGGAATAATGTATAAAAGCCCAGTACCAATCTTCTGGTCAATATTCCACAAATATTCACTCCCTTCCTCCTTTCCCATTCTTCCCAGACAGAGATTAGTTAGTTTTCTTCCAAATTCATATTTTCTTCTTCCTGGGCACATTGCTACACTATAGTCCCCACACCTCTTGCATCCAGGTGGACCCAGGAGACTGATTTCTGGCCAATGGAATGTGTGTAGGGGTTAGGAACACCTCCTCTGGATCTGGCCCCCAAATCTTTTCTTGAGATTCTCCAGGTTCTCTCCTCCCTCATCTGCAGCAGTTTCAGAGGATTCACTAAGAACTCCAAGTCTCCAAGGAAAGGCAGAGCTTCTAGATGGGTCCATGAAGTCTCTGAGAAAACCCACACTGGACTGTGATACGGGGTGAAATAAGCTTTTATCATGGTAAGCCACTGACATTTGGGGATTGTTAGTTACAGCACTTAGCCTACCCTGAATAATTCTGCCCTATCTTTGGAGAAATTGCCTTTCCCTCCTGGGTCTCAGTTTCTCCATCTGAAAATGAGAGGTTTGGAGTGGGTACTCTCCTGGTTGCCATTCTGCTATAACACTCCATTTATAAATTGAATGGTTATTATTTCCAAGTGGTTTAAAACTCTACAAGGACTAATCGTAGAATTTCTCAACTATAATAAAGACTAAATCTCTACTTCATAGATGAGTTGTGTTCCAGAAGTTCAGGTATGCATCCCTGGTTGGAACATTGTTTCTATGACAACATAGATTTATTTTTTTAAAATATACAGAGATTCCTGCTTAATCTTCAGTTCTGAGGCCCCCCAAGCCTTACACTGGAGGCAGTGAGTGGGAGCAGAGGCTCTGGGGTGTGATTGGAGAGGGACAGGACAAGAGGGTAGGATGGGCTGTACTATGGGCCAGATGCTAGCTGTGCAAGGTTCCCTTGGGAGGCAGTAGAAACCATTATACATGTGAGTCATTCCAAATTAGATATTTCCAATTCTATCTCTACCTTTTCACTTTTTTTTTTTTTTTTTTTTTAGAGACAGGGTCTTGCACTGTTGCCCAGGCTAGAGTGCAGTGGGGTGATCACAGCTCACTGTAACCTCAAACTCCTGGGTTCAAGCAATCCTCCTGTCTTAGTTTCTCAAAGTGCTAGGATCACAGGTGTGTGCCACTGCACCTGGCCTGCCTCTTCATTTTAACTATGCTTAGGTACATGTTCCATGCAGGTAGAGATGGATTTACCATGAAGCTAATGAAACTCAAGCTTCAGGGTCCTCACTTTCACCCAAGACCTTTCCAAGATCCTCACAATGTGTTCATGAGATCATTTGTTTTGTAAAACTTGAAAAAGTACGATATTTAACTGCAGTTGGTTAAGGCTGCTGTTTATTTCCACTTTTTATTTATTTGTTTTTTTGAGACAGAGTCTTGCTCTGTCGCCCAGGTTGGAATGCAGTGACATCATCATAACTCACTGCAACCTCAAACTCCTGGGCTCAGGTGATCCTCCTGCCTCAGCCTCCCAAGTAGCTGGGACTACAGGTGTGCACCATGAAGCCCGGCTAATTTTTCTATATTTAGTAGAAATGGAGTCTCACTCTTGCTCAGGCTGGTCTTAAAGTCTTTGTTTCCACGTTGACTTCCCTTCCTTCACATCTCTCCTTGTGTTAGATGGCACTAGAGGGGCCACAGGCATTTGGGGGATTCAGCTAAGGGGAAGTTTAGCTGGGAATCCACTCCATTTCGGATCTATTCACACGGCTTACAGTCACATCCATGCATAGTTATCACTTGTCTTCCAGAAATACTCTTATCCACCCACCATGCTGACTCATCTGGTGCTGTGACTGGTAAGTACAGGGCCAGAGATCAAATCAAGATATAAATGTGTCCTACAGCACCTAGCATGGGAAATATGTGGGAATGGAGGAGAATCAAGGTTTGAAAACAAATGAAGCCAGAAGCTAGTCTGAAGACAATTATTCCCATCATCAGCCATGTAAAAATATAAGTGGAAGATTCTGTCTCTTATTGACACCAGTGAAAACAAGTTTTGTCCTGTCAGCAATATATTCAATAACACAGCATATACAATTACAAATGCACCATGCATTCTTTTCTTTGATAGGAATTGTACAAACTATAATTTATCAGAATTCCTATGGTTAAATTTTTGGTGCCTTGACACAAATTACTGATATCAATGCAGATAATAAAAAACTTACAATGTATCATTCATAACGAGGTTTTCAAAGACAAATTGGCTAAGAAACATAGTCAATTTGGAGAGTATATGTAAGATTATTCTTTGCACAAGAAAGTTTGAAATGCTCTGAAATCTCGCAGCTCATGGATGAAAGAAATTTGATCAAGATTTTCCCCCAACTTGATAACAAAGCTAAAAATTTACATGACATTGCCAATAACAACTGTGAACCTGAAAGAATTTTTTTAAACTATCAAATAATAAAAGACAAATTTGATCCACTGTGCTAAGATTGAATTATCTTTCTACTCTCTCTCTAAAATGGTATTATTAAATTATTGCCATGTGAAGAAGCAATCAAAGAACATGCAGCAGAAAATGTAAGAAAAAAATAATATTTAAGTGTGACTGGTATTTAATTAATCAAATTATTACAGGATTTTTTTGTGATATTTGTGGTAGTCAGCTTTTTAAAATTTATAATTTATTGTTATTTCTCATTATAAGTAAATATTCACTTTCATACCTATCTTTATATTTGTACTTTGGTGGGGGTTTTTTTCCTTAAAGAAGGTACCCCTTCTGTCCTCATCCCTCTGCCCCCAGAATTATATAAACATCAGGCTCCACAAAACCTGGCTGACCAGAGCATAGCACAAGCTCTTAGGAGCTGCTACAGTTATGTGAGGGGTTGAGGCTGGCTATTCAGGCCACAGGCCCAGGAGCTGAGCACTGCCAAGTCACCTAAGCTAATAAGGCTCTGAAACATGGGCACAAGTTAGAAAAGTCACCAAAGTGGGTCAAATTAAAATGCCTCTTTATGGGGTCACCTCTGAGGCACTTTAGGTCACCAGTAATGTTACCAGGCCCACACCTAGCTTTGCTTCTGCAGGAACCCCAGCATCAGGAGAAACCTGCCATTCTGCCATTCGCCCTCTGGCCCTGTTGCCTATTTTTCTTCTGGTGAACAGTGTTTCAAGAACTCAAAACGTCCCCATGTCCTTAATAAAATTAAACCCCTTTTACTGACAAAAAAAATACACACTGGTTCAAACAAACAAAAAAGTGTTTACAAAAGCAAGGTGATTCCAGCTCCTTGAAAATTACGGATTGTCAATTGTGTTAGCATCACCTAGTGACAAAAAACGGGTAAGTTCAGCTCACCAAAAGCGTTCAAAAACTAGAAAGAAAAACTGAGATGCTTCCCCCTCCCTCCCTTTTCTGGAAGCTGTGCTGAGTACTGCAGTTTACTCAATTCCACCGTGACTTTTGGTTATTAACTTATGTCCCCAAATCTTATAAGAAAATAGTGAAACCGCAAGTCAGATAGAGATGAAAGAATGAATAATTCTGCTGACCCTCGCTGACTCTATTGAATATTCTGGGCCATCCTGGCTTCTGGCTTGAACCTGCTACCTAGGCTGACTCCTCAATTTCTCTCCTTACCAGCTCTTTCTTTTTCTTTTTTTCTTTCTTTCAAGAGACAGGGTCTTGCTTTGTTGCCCAGGCTGAAATCAGCGGCTATTCACAGGAACCATCACAGCACACTGCAGCCCCCAACTCGTGACCTCAAGCCATTCTCTCTCCCCAGCATCCTGAGTAGCTGGGACTACAGGCTCGCACCACTGTCCTGGGCTCAACTCTTGTTTTTTCCCAGTCTCTGGCTCAGCCCGCATTTTGCCTAGCTCCATTCCACCATGTCTGTTTCATTTCAGCTCCTTTCTCCCTTCCATCTTAATTTTCCCCAAACAGACCTAGCTTTAGTTGCTTACTTGCATCCTCTATTGAATTTTCATTCAACAAATATTTGTTGAGCATTTTTGTGGAAGGCATTATGGTAAGCACAGGGGACTCAAAGCTAAGAATAACATAGTGTTGCAAGCACACCCTCTGGAGCCAAAATGCCTGGGTTTGAATCTTAGTACTATCATTTCTCACCGCTAGACCTTGGACAAATTACTAAGTTCGTTGTGCCCCAATGTCCTTGTTAAAACATATAAAAAGCTTAGAAGGGTGTCTGGTGCTTGGCAAGCATTCTTTAAATGCGGACTCTTAAGGCATAGTGCTTACTTCTCAAGGAGCTCACGGTCTACGGTTGCCCTGTCTGCCTGTCGCTCCTGGCAGGGAGGGCTGTCTGAGTCTTCTGGCATCTCAAGTGACCAGCAGCTCCTCACCACCCTTTCCTGAACTGGGTGCAAGTTTTTGCGTCACAGTTTCACTGTGTGATCCCTGACAAGTAATTTCTCCTCTCTGGGTCTCATTTTCTGCATTTATAAAAAAGGAAGTTAGACCAAAATTGATTTCCGAGATCCCCACAAACTACTTGTTCTGTGTCAAGCGGCCCAAGTTTAAAACTATGTCAGCTTGGGCAAGACGCTTAACCTCTCAGCGATTGTTTCCTCCCTGTAAAAAAAGTCGATGATATTACTAATCCCCTCCTAGGATTGTGAAGAGAGTTTCAATAAAATAACGCAAGCCCCGGGTGTCTGGCACACATGGAACGCTCAGAGCAAGCCAACCCTCCAGATCCCCCGCGTGTTGCCACCCAACCGCCTCCGCCATTCTGAAGGCTGGCACCGCCCCCGCCCTCGCCGGCCGCAGGTTTCCGGCTTCCGGTTCCGCCTGGACGCAGAGGCGGGGCTGAGACTAATGGCGGCGTTCACGAAACTGGCTGGAGGGGTAGTTAAGGAGGCCGCGGCGGAAGAGGACCCGCGAGTTCTGGAACCTGGGGCTGCCCCCTTCGGAAATTTCCCTCATTATTCCCGCTTCCACCCTCCGGAGCAACGGCTCCGCCTCCTGCCCCCGGAGCTGCTTCGACGGCTCTTCCCTTCTCAGAGTCCCGAGACGAGGCCGATCCTAGGGCTCGACGTGGGGTGTAACTCCGGGGTGAGTGACGGGGGAGAGATCGGAGCACCGGGAGCCAAGCGGTTGGCTGCCTCCACGTCCACTGTGGTTCAGACCTGGGCTCAGCATCACACCCACCAAAACTTTCCCCAAATGAGCATAAAGCATAGCGTTGACCAACCCAGGGCTGCTGCTACCTGTCCGCCAGGGTCCCGCCACCGTCTCTCTTAGGAATCTTGGGGAGGAATCCTTCTTAACTACGTTCCGAATTCCTGCGTCCCCGCCTCAGCTTTCGCTGCCCTCAGGGCCAGATCCCAGGTGGGGAGGATCACTCTATCAGGAGTGGCCCCTGTGCAGCGTACCCGGCGACCTTGCTGGGGAGAGGGGACTTTCAGAGACCCACGTTTGGGAGTTTGGGATTGGAATTGGTTTACTGAGAGAGGAGCCAGGGTTGACAGAATCGTACCTAGAATTAAGACTCGTGTGTGCTGTACAGTGCTGAACGGACCCTGGAGCCAGATGCATATTTTTTTAAATAGCAGTGAGTTGATGGAATATAGTGGAGAGGACAGCATTCTGCCACAGGAGTGGAGGAAGGAGGCACTGGCACTCTTCTTACCACAAAGTATTATGTATACGATTATAGTCAAACCACATACAAAATAAGGAAATGTCTCCCTCACACCTATTTGTTGCCACTGGGATAGGCTAAAGGAGCAGGCAGTCTGACTCTATGATTGCAAATGCTTCCAAAGTTAGTACCCTCAATCCACTCCCTTCATCACTCCAGGCCTTGTAGAAGCTGGAGGGGGTGTGGTGAATTTTACAGTGGCAGAAGAAGAGACTTTAGTGGACAACTGAAGACCTTGAAGGACACAGCTGGTAGTGGGAGGGGGACATTTGGATACTGTCTCAAAGACTAGAATGAGCAAATGGGTGGGTGTCTGGGTGTCCTCTGCAAACAGTCTCCACTGTAAATGATATAGAAAATCAGAGGGTAAAAGCATTGAAAAAAAAGAGACTGGGCTTAAGGCTTGGGATTTCATGAAAGGCATTAGGAAACCACAGATTTTAAAGTTGAGAGTAGCATATATATACATTAGAGGCAAAGACATAGTTGGCAGTAGTTCCCAAACTTGCTGTCAGGTTCACTTCTGAAAAGTGTCCACAAGCTTGCGAAAGGCACAATCCGTAGTCACTAAACATCTGCTCATGCTGCTGCCTGGAGTACTCTTGGTGACATACCGATGGATTTAGTCTCAGCCTCTGCTGGTCAGATTAATCAGAGAGGCCACTGGCATGGCGTGCTCATGGAGACATTGTCCACCTCCATGTGGTACAGTAGCAAGGGTGGATGTTGCTGGGAGACAATTCTCCATTGATCTCACACGATTCTGCACATCTTGTGAGGCAGGCAGTGACTGCCTTTTTTCCTGGCTGTATTTTCCAGTACCCAAACCTGGCTGTATGTTGAGGGAGCTTTCTATTTTGTACTTTGTAAAAACTGCTTGTACGTGATAAAACAAAAAAATTCAAAATACAAAAGGGTATATAGTAAAAAATAACTCTACTCCCAATGCTAAATCCTCCTGTTCCCTCACACAGTGGCATCACTGTTTGTATAATAATTTCTTGGGTATTTGTCCTGTGTGTATATCAGTAATTATGTATGTATAAATATCATCCCTCTTTTAGTTTTACAAATAGTAGTACACTGTTTTGCACCTGCTTTTCATTTAATAACTCAGATTATTCATGTCAGTACATTCTTTTTTTAACAGCTTCATAATATTTCACTGTATAGATGTGTCATAATTTATGGGTGCTTTTTTCCAACTGTAAAAACTTTCAGGGCCCACTTTAGACCTACTGAATCAGTTTCTCAGGGAATTGGGCCCTCGAGCCTGTATTTTCTCTTTTAAGCTTCCAGAAGACTATAGGATTGGGGAATTGAGGATGGAGAGGAATGAAGAGATGTGGAGAAGGCACTGAGTTGAGGAAGTGATCAAACATGGGGCCACACCCAAGATCAGATAGGAGGAGCAAGATAGTGAAGAAGTAAATAGAAAGATGGAGAGATAATTAAGCAGCATGGTCAAGGGCCTTGCTACTCAAAGTGTGACCCTTCAACTACAGCACTGGCATGATTTGGCAGCGTATTAGAAATATCGAATCTCGGCTATCACCCCAGATCTACTAAATCAGCATCTTTATTTTAACAAGATCCCTAAGTGATTTGTATGCCCATTAAAGTTTGAGAAGCCTGCGTAGAGGAAAGAACCTAATATAGCCTAAGACTTGCCATGTACGATGTGACATTGGACAAGTAAGTCTTGGTGAACTATGCCACACATACAGAAAAGTACATAAAACACAAACCTATACATTATGAATTATAATAAAGCAAACACCTTTATGGCCACTGTTCAGGTCAAGAATAAAACAGCACCCCAGAAGTCCTCCATATGCCTTTTCCTGTTCATAAATATATCCTATATCCACCCAGAAGTAACAACAGGCCTAAATATTATTATCATTTCCTTACTTTTCTTTATACTGTTTATCTTCCCTAAACAATGTAGTTTAATTTGACCCATTTTTGAACTTCTTATAGGTGGAAGCTCATCATATATTTCCTTTTGTGGCTTGCTTTTTTTTTTTTTTTGAGACAGAGTCTTGCTCTGTTGCCTGGGCTAGAGTGCTGTGGCATCAGCCTAACTCACACAACCTCAAACTCGTGGGCTCAAGTGATCCTCCTGCCTCAGCCTCCCCAGTAGCTGGGACTACAGGTGTGCACCACCACACCCAGCTAATTTTTTCTGTTTTTTTGTAGAGACAGGGTCTTGCTTTTGCTCAGGCTGGTCTTGAACTCCTGAGCTCAAGCAATCCTCCTGCCTCGGCCTCCCAGAGTGCTAGGATTATAGGCGTGAGCCACTGTGCCCAGCCTTGTGGCTTGCTTTTTAACTCAGCATTATATATTTGTGAGAATCACCCATGTTGTACTGAGCTGAGTTCTTTTGTCTTTAATTGCTATTTAGTATTCTATCTTAAGCTATTTGGTATTCTGTCTTAATGACTATACCATATTGATTTGTCCATGCTATTACTATTGGACATCTGAGTGTTTTCCATTGTGCGTTTTCTTTACCTGTACAAAAGGCATAAATAAATATTTTCCTCACACAATTGTTAAGCAAACAGATATTAAATAGGAAAATGCCTTGAAAAATACTATATATAACAACACAAATTTGAGTTAGTTATAATGGTTATAGAAGTCAAAGTTAGAGAAAGGAGACAGTGACTTGTTTAAGAGTCAAAAAGATGCTAAGGTGGTAAAAATCACAAATCACTGGATTTGGCTAGAAGGAGGTCAGCACTGACTTTTAGGAGTGATGGCTACAGAAACAGAATAAGTCTCAGAAGAAGGTGGCAAAGCATAAGACAGGTAGTTAAAATTGAAGCTGTAGAGTGAAAGCTGAATGAGGACTTTTTGGAATCCAGACTTTCCAACCACAGGTCTGACGAGCAGGTTTCGATAAGATGGGGCTTGCTCTATTCCTCACTTTCGTGGTAAAGGACACCTGTTATGGCTCTGGACCCCTTTCTTCTTCCCCTAAGGTCTGAGATACCCAGAAAAAGACAGTGAGTTTACCAGCATATTACTTATTGGAAAATACTGCTCTAGGCTCCTTTGCTATATCCATTTGGCTGTAACTTTCAACTATACCAATCTACCGTCAGTGTCAGGGAAGATACAGGGATGATGCATTACAGCCTGTGACCCCTGGAGGGCACTGAGAGCCTGCTCTGTGGAAAAGTTTTTATACAACCTCCTTAGATTATGGTTTAAGGGCCCGACATCCTATAAAGCCAGGGGTAAGTGGCATTCTGAGTGGGAGGATGAGAGATATAGATTTCTCTTCCATTCACTGGTTGAGAGCTGCAATGACAAAGCTCTTTTGGATTCCTCTAGGATCTGAGTGTGGCTCTATACAAACACTTCCTTTCCCTACATGATGGGGAGACCTGCTCAGATGCCTCAAGAGAACTCCGTCTCCTCTGCTGCGACATAGATCCAATCTTGGTGGAGCGAGCTGAAAAAGAATGTCCTTTTCCGGATGCCTTGACCTTTATCACCCTGGACTTCATGAATCAAAGGACCCGGAAGGTTCTCTTGAACTCTTTCTTAAGCCAATTTGGACGTTCAGTTTTTGACATTGGTTTCTGCATGTCAGTAACCATGTGGATTCATCTAAACCATGGGGACCATGGCCTGTGGGAGTTCCTGGCCCATCTTTCCTCCCTCTGCCGCTATCTCCTTGTGGAGCCACAGCCCTGGAAGTGTTACAGGGCAGCTGCAAGGCGTCTCCGAAAGCTTGGACTCCATGATTTTGACCACTTCCACTCCCTTGCCATCCGAGGTGATATGGCAAATCAGATTGTGCAGATCTTGACCCAGGACCATGGCATGGAATTAGTATGTTGCTTTGGCAATACCAGTTGGGACCGAAGCCTTCTGCTCTTTAGGGCAAAACAAACCACAGAGACTCATCCAATCCCTGAATCACTGATAGAAGAGGAAAAAGAAAAGAACAGATTAAGATTCTGGAGGCAGTGAGATGGGAGGGCAGGAAGACCAGGAAAGAAATATCGAAAGGGTCTTATATTGAGAATGATGTTTACTCTCCTTAACTCTTTAACAATCAAACATCCTCAAAACCCGGCAGAAGCTTTTGGCAAAATGTCCAAGGCCTGTAATTGAAATAATCAGTATCCATTCCCCATTGTTTAAAACAATCCCTGAGGAAAGTGAATCTGTGGAGTAGTAAGGCTGTCTGAATTGAGATGGCCATAAAAGTGATCCTGGTGGTTGGACATGGGAGGAGCTGCTTTTGGGCTTTATTTATAAAGATTAGACCAGGCTAGCCTTAGTATGTATCAGTTCCCATGGCTGCTTGAATCTGATCTGGTTTCTTCAGGCTTCTGTACTTACTAGGCCTGCCTTTGGGCAAACTCACAGTGCAGTCTGGAATGAAGAGTCACTGGCCTGGCTAAAGGAAGAGGTTAGCAGGAAAAGCATGTTGTCTCTCTAAAGCAAGTCAAGTCTCCAACATGCCCAGGCTCGGCACAGCAGTTACAGATACTAGGCAAGATACATTAACTGTCATTTAAAAGATGTTTAAAAGATTTAAATTATGAACCCAGAGATAGTGATTCAGATCTGGAATGGGGCTTAGGAATTTGTTTTCTTTTGTGGTGTTGCATTCTTTTATTTACCATTTTATGGTAAATTTTAACTATTTTTAAGTGTACAATTCTGTGGCATCAAGTACATTCACAGTGAAGAACCTGTTTTTAACAGACACCCCAGATGATTCTGATGCAAGCAGGGGTAGACCACACTTTGAGTGCTTAGGGTTCCATCCAGCCCTCCTCTGTATAATTTTCCTGGGTTGAGTTCTTCCCCATGATATTTTAAAATTAATTAATTAATTATTTTAAAGAAAGACTTCTAGATTCCCCATGGTTTTAACAATTATCTACAACCTAAATGAGCCCCAAATATCAAATATATTGGTAGCTTCACATCTGTGGTTCCAGACTAATATTTTTCCTGTTTTGTAATTATATCCCCTAGATATTAATAGTTCTTAGGCACCTCAAAGTCAACATATCCCAAAAGCAAACTCATTCCCTCATTCCAAACCTAATCGTATCTCATTGGTGGCATTCAATTATTGCTCAAGCTAGAAACTTGACCTGCTTCTTTCCTCACTTTTACTACCCACGTTGAAATAGTCACAAAGTACAGCAAATTCTACCAATTACATAAGTCTCATTTATTCCATCCACATGGCCGGTGCCTATCAGAGAGTTCTGTGTTAAGTCATCTACCCTCCAATCCATTCTCTGCCTTGCAGCCACAGTTTACTCATCTGTACAACCGAAATAACACCACCTTCCTTTTCCTGTGCCCAAATGAGCTAAAGGATGTGAATGTATATTGTGGAACATTGTTAGACAAAAATAAAGTGTTATTATATACTCTGTAAGCGTGGCACAGACCACAACTGTGCTTGTTAGACCAAAGGCTTATGGGAAAAACATTTCATCTTGTAGAAGAAAACATGCATTTTACTATCTCTAATAATTTTATAGGATGAGGAAGTAAAAAGGAGTTTAGCTTCAGTGCTACAAAGCATTTTAAAGGAAACAATTTTGTGGGGGAGGGATATGGAGCCAATGGATATGAGGCCAGTTTATGATGGTCTCAGAATGATCACAGTGGTTCCAGAGCTGAATTTACCCACATCTCTCTAGATCTTAATTTAGGAACACTTTGAAACCTTGTGGCCCTGCTGGGGTCTCTCTGTTACCACCTTTCACCAATGCAGTGCAAAGAAATGTATATGGGGCTGTGGTAGGCTAAATAGTAATCCCCAAAATATCCACATTCTAATCCCTGGAACCTGTGAATATTACCGTAGATAGCAAAAGGGACTTTGCAGATATGATTAAGGATCTTGAGATGGTGAAATTAACTTGGGTGATCAGAATGGACCCTAAAGATAATCATAAGTATCCTTATAAGAGGGAGACAGACGGAGATTGGATCCACAGTAGATATAATAACAGAAGTGAGAGGTTAGAGTGATGTGAGGAAGGGCTGCAAGCCAAGGAATGCAGGGAGCTTCTAGAAGTCAAAAAAAAGGCAAGGAAATATATTCTCCCTGAGAGCCTCCAGAAGGAATGCAGCCCTACCAACACCTTGATTTTAGATTTCTGACTTTCAGAACTATAAGAGAATAAATTTGTGTTGTTTTAAACCACTAAGTTTGTGGTGATTTGTTTCAGTAGTAACAGGAAGCTAATATAGGGACTCTGACTACAGTGAGACTGGCTTACACACCAAGTGGCACCTGTCCCAAACAACTCCTCAGTGGCAGAAAATAGCCCCAGTGACCAAAAGGATACACAGAGGCTCCATATACATAGTTAACTTAAAAATCTTCAACAACTAAAAGCTTTGGGAGATGCTTCAGCATCTGAACTTGATCTGTTCCCTACTAACATTCTATTGGATGAGCGGTTACCTGACCTGTTGGGAGGAACCGTTGTATTTCAAGTCTGTGCAGTCAGTTTCAAAGAAGATATGTCATTAGTGCTCATAAAGATGAGGCCCTGGTACCAAGAAGGTAATGGCTACATAATAGTCTGTGAGAGCCCTTGGAGACAGTGAGAATCTTTGGCTCCAAGAAAAGAACATCTTATTTATCTTCACACCAGCCTAATTTAGGAACCAACACCAGCATGATGAAACTTCTTGAGGGACAATCAATAAAGAATGGTTCTGGATATACTTGGACATTTAAAAATATATATTTTATGTAATCTATTATCTCCAAAATACTACATTTCAACATGTAGTCTATAAAAATAAAATACATCATTTTATACTAAATATTCAAAACCTACTGTGCATATTATACTTAAAGTTCATCTCAATTTTGACCAGCCATACTTCAGGTGCTCATTAGCCAGCCACATGTGGCTAATGCATACACTTTCATGGGAAATCAGGAAATATTTTATCAAATTCCCTCCATATATCTAGCACGGTCTTAGCTGCTATGGGAAGTAGGGGAAAAGTAGATTAAACCACCCCAGACTTCCAAAGGTTAGATTTGATTCATTCAGCAAATACGTTAAAGTTGAGGAGAAAAGGAGAGGCTCATGAAAGATAATAAACAATCCTGTGAGCTTTAGAAAAGGAAAGTCTCTGTGGGTAGCAATGGGCATGGAAGACTTTCTGCAGGATGTGGGACTTGAGCTGTCCCTGAAAGGAATACAGCTTTTGGAACAGTGGACAAGAGGAAAGGATCATTCCCTGTTAACCTGGAGAAAGGAACCTCTTGGCAAGGGTGTTTTTGCACATTTAGAACAGACAAGACTGACTGGTCTAGAATGGAGATGTTATTCTGGGCAGTAGTGGGAAATAACAGTGATCCCTGCCATTAACTAGATTTTAGATGGAATATCTGTAAGTAAAAAGAAAACTATAAACATACTAGAGAATACAGCTAATTTTAAAAGTTGGCATACTCCCCAAACAACAACAACAAAAAAGCCATAAAGGAAAAGACTGATAAATTTGACCACATAAGGCAAAAAAGAAAAAAACCAAAATCCAATAAATTTGCATGACAAACAACCAACTAGGAAAACTATGCAATGCTTGTGAAATACAAAGGGCTAATTTCATTATAATATAAATAACTCATAAATCTATTTAAAAAGGCTTTCACAGAAAATAATGGCAGATAAACACCCAAAAACTTATTTAATCTTGTTAATTACATGCAAGTAAAACTAAAAAGAACATTTCATCACTTACATTAGTACAATATTCACATAGTTTTAAAACAGAGATGGTGAGAATGTAGGAAAATAGATATTCTTGTGCCCTGTTAGTGGGAATAAAAATTAGCATAACTACTTTGGAAGGCAATTTGTCAATATTTATCAAAATATATACTGTACATACCTAGGAATTCCATCACTAGGAATTTATGTTGTGGATATACTAAAATATGCAAGGAGGCCGGGTGCGGTGGCTCATGCCTGTAATCCTAGCACTATGGGAGGCCAAGACGGGAGGATCACTTGAGGTCAGGAGTTCAAGACCAGCCTCAGCAAGAGCGAGACCCCATCTCTACTAAAAAAAAAAAAGAAAAAATTAGCCAGTCAACTAAAAATAGAAACAAAAAATTAGCCAGGCGTGATGGCTCAAGACTGTAGTCCCAGCTACTCAGGAGACTGAGGCAGGAAGATCACTTGAGCCCAGGAGTTTGAGGTTGCTGTGAGCTAGGCTGACGCCACAGCACTCACTCTAGCCGGGCAACAAAGTGAGACTCTGTCTCCAAAAAAAAAAAAATGAAGGATATTGAGGGACAAGAAATAGAAAATGTTCCTGGATATCCTTGAACACTTAAAAATATATATTTTATATAATCTAGTATCTCCAAATGCAGTGTTATCCATTAGAGTTAGTTGACAAAAGTGAAAAGACGGAAATAACCTAAATGCTTGTCAGTAGGAAATAAATAATGTGGTACAACCATAAATAGATTACTATGCAATTGTTAAAAAGAACAAGGTAAGGTGGGGCAGTGGTGTGCACCTGTCATCCCAGCTACTTGGGAGGCTGAGGCAGGAGGATCACTTGAGCATTTGAGTCTGCCTGGGCAACGCAGCAAGACAGTCTCTTAAAGAAAAAAAAATTTTTTTTAATTTAAAAAAATTAAAAAGAGCATGGTAGTTTGGTATACGCTAATATGGAAAGGTCTCCAAGATATTTTAAGTGCAAGAAGTTAAGGTACAAAACAGTGTAAATGGTAAGATCCTGCTGTCTTACCTGTTAGAAAGAATATAAACATAGAAGGTAGTAAAACAACTAAAAGCAAAAAACCAAAGAGCAGTATAATCTGCTCTTAGTCATATCAAAGAATCAGCCAAAAGGTTAAAATGGCTTATTGCTGGGGGTAGGAAATAATTGCTTATGTATTATTTGTTTCACCATATGCACATATTGCTTTTTAAAAACTAGTCTTAAATGAGTAATTTTTTAAAGTAAATTACACAGTATCTTTCTAAAAATAACTGTCATCCCCTACTGTCCCACCCATCTATCTACCTAATTTTTTCCTCACAGCATAGCCAAAATTCTTGGAAGAGTTTTAAACATTTCCTATCTCCATTCTTTACTTTGTGGGTCTTTTTTAACCCTTCAAAATCTGGTTTTGTCAAAGTCTCCAATAATGTGTGACTAAAGTCAGCAGTCATGTCACTGTCTGATCCAACTTAATCTCAGCAACATCAGGAACTATACTCATCCCCTGGTATTCATGGGGAATTGGTTCCAGGACCCCTAAGGATAACCAAAATCCTTGGATGCTGAAGTCCCTGGTGTAAAATGGTGTAGTACTTGTATATAACCCATGGACATTGTTCTGTATACTTAAAATCATCTCCAGATTACTTACAATACCCAATACAATGTAAACGCTATGTAAATAGTTGTTATACTGTACTTTAAAAAATTTGTATTTTTATTATCGTAGTTATTTTTTATTTTTTATTTATTTACTTTTCTCTGATCTGCAGTTGGTTGAATCCAAGGATGCGGAACTCACTGATACACAGGGCCAAC